AATGGAGCTGACCGGCATGGTAAAAGCGAAAGGTCTATATAGTTTCAAGTGAAATGGATCGTTCAAGTACATCATCCGATAAATGACTACTTGGCCGGGAAAAGGCCACTCCTGTGTGTAAACATAATGCAAATAAGTGGTTATATTGTGCTTAACCCACAGTCGAAGACGAGTCATACTCGCAGCTACACATTTCTAGAAAACCATCTTAGGTGTACTGAAGCTCTAATAAAACAGCTGCAATATGTAATACAGTTTTTGCACCAATCAGTTCTATTTTCTGAAGATATCAACAGCTATTATTTTAATAACCGGCTAAAAAAAGTTATTTTTATTCATAAGTCAAACAGAATTTGATTTCGTGAAAACAAATTCTGTTAAAATTGTTAAAAAAAAAAAATATTGTAAATTGTTTGTTGAAAGTATGTTACAATAATTATACTTTTTTTAAATACCATTCCTTAAAAAAATCACTAGAAAGGTATTAAACACTTTTAGCTAAATCATACATTCAACAGACATATACACTAGGTTATTCATTTCTGACACAGACATTAAATAATATGTGGTGGCTTTTGTGTACGTTCCAGTGATGGTATTAAAGTTTTGTATTGACATAAATTGCATTGCATTGTTGTTTTAAATGTCATATATAATTTTATCTTCGATGTGAAGTTTTAAATATATTTTTTTATCTGCGGAGTGACGGTGACTATTAAATAATGTGCCGGCGGGGAAGCAACATTGTAACAATACACTTATTTTAATTAATAGCAGCACAATGAAATTGTAGGCGTTTCTTCTCAAGGCAGATGCACATTTTCCGTGGACGGAAATCACCGTAATCGGAGGACACGCTAAGGTATAATGCGGATGTAGATAGCGGTTGATGATTTTAATTGGATACTCGACAGTCTAATTGAATTGTCGAATACACTCGTCCGCGTCAGAGGAATCAGACAAACCGAACGCGTTTCAATTATGTCACTTAGGCTGTGGGAAAAGCTATGGGAAATATGTATTATGCATCTGTCCTATTTCATATTGCACCTATACCTTTAGCTTCGGAAAACGGTGAGCGTTTCGTCCAATTGACTTGGCCCTTCTCGTCTTGGCTTCCCCTTTTGCTTCCCCCCTATCCCTTCAAGAAATACCCCGCCACCCCCTCTGGTGACTTTTCTTATCGTAACTGCTTTCGGTGACATCTATTTACATATACTTTATTAGCATAATAAAACGGATTATGCGCGTTTATGCACAAGCAACCAGAAGATTACAAGTGGATCACACACGACAGACCTGACGGGAAACTTTTATTATAATTACAGCCAAATAATATTTCGGTCTGGGAGAACATAAAAAATCAATGACCTATAGGTGCACTAGGTAGGACGATAAGGACACTTAAGTATTAAAACAAATTAATACCGTTTGTACTCAACTTTTGCTTCTTAGTGTATCCAAGAAAAACGCATCTTATCTCAAAGCTCTTAACTCACTTTCAGCATACAGCTAGACTATCTCTTACCTCCAGCATCATGTTGGACCATCTTAGCATCCAGCTGGACCATTTTTTAACTCTTATTTCTTATCCATAATCTCAGCTCCCAGTTAGACCATTACTTATTTCTATTTTTTTTTATCTCTAATCCATTACTTCTAATCTTATATATTTACCCGGTATCGTTTAGCGTGATGCTCGTCTCACAGATTTTTTGAATGGCCCCCAGCACATCCATGTTAAAACCCCAATCAGTTATTGGTCGTACATTATCTCATTGTACAAACCTATTTCAAAATTATTCAGCTGCTGTTAAGACTTAAGATGGTTTGCTACATTGTCAATTACATCAGCTACAACCTGAGAGAACATTCTCATCATTGGTACGTTCAATTATTTCAAATCCAACCTTATGTCTACTGTGAGTATTTGTTTATTTGCAAGCCCATTGAAAATCCTGCATACGCCAAAGTTTTATTACATTCGTTAGTATTTTTCGCTCATTAACTTGTATAAGATTTCAAAATTTGTCTACCAAATGTCTACTGCAGCAGATGTAAGTAAGTATATGTAACGCTGAACGGATGGTAAGTGTTCCGTGAGTCTTTCTCGGCACTAATCCTGTACCATGTATGGTTTTCCTTGTTCTAAACCTAACTTAACCGCGAACTGAAGTCCGTCAATGAAGTTCGACTATACTTTATATACCTACTATAGCAAACGAGTCATTTCGCACGACAATCACGTGCGGTACATGGCGTATTATGGTGTCTATAAAGATAATCCTAAAGCCGGCGCATCGACGGCGGATGAAAACTATTTAGTATATTATGTTGTTTCCCCTCAAACGCTAACACATTGAACGGAATACACTATATTTTTTATATTTTATTGCTAATAATAGCAAGTATAATCCGATTAGCGGACAAAAAACAATCCGACGACACCCGCACTTTTATTGTTTGTCGGTTCGGTTTTTTAATAAAAAATTCCTCAAGTTTCCGCCAAGCAAATCCCCTTCGACAGTAAGCTCACATTTCGACTGAATTTATGTGGACAGATAGTGGTGAACGGTGCACGCAATCCCCGATATTCTTCTTACGGGCAACGGGAAATATGATTATGATAATCGTCGCTTTTTTTCTGTCGTTTATAAACACACAAATAAACGTAAAAATCTTACAATCGTAAGGACGCCAAATTGTAAAGCTTTATGCAATCGTGCAGTAAGACTTCACAATGCACGACGGCCGCATTATGCTCGTTAAAGAGTAATAATATGGTGTAAAGATGATGCAAAAGTAACGCGCAGGTGAAAATTACAATTTTTTTTGTTGGCGTTCTCCTTATTTTGTATTGTATTATATTATATACTATTATAATATTGTTCACACCCTTATCGACTTTCAATTCCGGTGCAGTTCATGAAACGCGTGGCACTTCGGATATTTCTCGGTGGGAAGGGTGGAGTGTAGTATTATTTTTATCTGCGCGCACTTCCCCTCCCGTCCTAGGAGTTTTAAACTCTTATAACTTAAAAAAAGTGTTGTTGTTCACAACTGGTTGTATTATCAACCAGTCAACATTTTTTAGTAAAATGTTCTTAATTTAAAAAGTTAAGTATTTTATTTTTTATTTTCATTTTAGCTATGGTGTTGTTTTAAGTTTTCCTAAATTTCCGTTTGCACGCTGCCGGCTGCTCGTGTAAATTGGAAATTGCTATATGTTGTTGCAAATATATATTTATACTTGGAAGAGGGGGGGGGAGGAAGTTAAGTCTACAGAACCGTCTGGTGTGAGATAAAAGCTAGCAATAACTCCAATTTAACGGCGATAACGTAACCATAGAGTATACAAACCTAATAATATATTGTATCTGCAAGGGAAATGATGGCGGGAGTGATAAAGTACGATTTAAAACGGATATCGAGTCCAAACGACCGAGAAGGCTGGGCTCAATTAACGCATACCATATAATATATTATTATGTTTCGGTCAATATTATAGTTGAATAAATTTAATAAAAATTACTGACAATACACAACGTGCGGTCAGAGTTGTGCATGTACATGGCGGTTGTGCATCTTTGGAATAATCATCTAAATAAAAAACAATATTATTCAAGTAAAATTTATTCGAATAAGACTTGGCACACAACTCTATACAGTTAGGATACTCTGTACAGCTTATGTGTGTTTTTATAAGCGTTCGACTTAACATTTTGGACAGCTAGCCGCGTTCATGTATCTCATACTGTGTCAATACACTGAACGATTAGATCATATCGCCTGTACTAGAGAAGCACGTGGCTATTATTTCATTTGACACGTGTTCGTTGCTTTTCTAAGATGTTTAAAATAAATATTGCTTATAACATTTGGTATTAAAAAAAAAAACACCTTTACGAAACGACACTAAACGCCAATGAATGAACGCTTTAATAAAATATGCGTTTATAAAGCCCGTACAGAGGATGGTTTTCAATATTATTAAGTTATACAAAATTGTTGTATATAAATTACTACTTTATTGTTAGAATCACCTTTTCGTGCCTACTTTCGGTTCTCTTAAAAAAAAAAAAAAATGTTAACGTAACTAGAAAACCTTAAATATTTTATTTTTCATACTTCTGAATAATATATTTAATTAAATGTTTTTTTATTTTTTCATCTTAGGTTTATTTGGCCACAAGCACAACCTCACCTCTCAACCAATCCTCCAGTTATTTCGAGTTTTTGGGTTAACACCGTAGTGGCGAAAGTCACATTAATCTTAATTAGAGAAAAACTAGATTTAATGAAAACTTTTCCGTTGTGCTTGTATTGTTCTTGTATTTGGTGGTAGAGGTTACGGTTTAATGCACTCCGTCTTTCGATAAATTGACTTCTTATGATATGCTTACAATGCTTAACTCGACTTTTACCTTAAATATGACTTACATCGCTGACTTTAACCCCTACAAATGATTATATTATTTCAAAGAAAAATATTTGCAAACGATTTGGTGAACAAAATTACCTATTTGTATACTTAAGTTGTTAAGATACCACTAGGTCGATAAAATAACTATTGAGCTTTTCTGTATCGCGGGTTCAAACTTAAGACTTTATGTTCAAAATAAAATACATAATACAAGTGGATATAGTCGTATAATTTGGAAATTTAAATAAAAAATAAAAAAAATTGATAATATAATATATTATGTATTTATTTGTATAACAACAATTTTTTAATGACAATATCTAGTTATCCATATAATTTAATAATAAATTATATATAGTAGGTATATTATAATAATCTATAGAGGAACATAACGTATCATACAATATATACAACTTACTTATCATAGATATATAAGTATTATAAATCTAAAATATTTATGTATAAATAACATTTATTTTTGTATTTTTTTGTGAATGAATAAGCAATTAGTAAATATTAATAAAGCGACAGTTTTATTATATTTGATAGTTTTATCGATTTACATTATTTTGGAATTACGAATAATATCATGCTTGAACATACTTAACTATATTATATTGTCCTAACAATATTATTTAATCAGCATACAAAACAAATAATTACAAAGAATATACCAACTATTATTGTATAGCCACGAATATAATAATATTGGAATTATGATAATAATATCTATTGCTATATTTATCCAAACATCACCGTCGTTGGAAACGCTACGCTTGGGGTAATATTATATTTTTTAAAAGAAGTGTCTTAAAAAATATAATTACTAGACGAACGGTGTTGTTGTTATTATAACAGCTTTACTGTTCATGTACTGATATGGTAGACCATTAAAAAATAGTGAATAAGTTGATCAATGAATACTGTTATTTACAACCTGCATATTATAGTTCATAAAACGTAATATCAATCTTTAAACTTAACTTGAAACTCAACTGACTAAAAATTAGCTACAGTTTTATATTATTATATTATATATGAGTAAGAGGACGCCACATTAGAGATTACAACTTGATCTAGATTTTCACATGGTGGTTTTCGATAAAGTTATCAGCAATTCAGTAAGAGGACATTACTACATTTCACACATTTCTATTAAACATTTTTATTGATAACTGAGAACAAACTTTGAGAGATCAAATGAAGAGATCCGGTAAAATTCCATTTTCTTATAAAACAAAATACCTAAGACTGAAATATGCAGAACGTGTGGGGAAATATTCACATTTAAAAATATTTGAACTCACTGTCATCGTCATATTGACATAAGAGCCAACTTAAAAGCCCAGATAACATTACTGAAGCCTTAGGTCCATTCGAAGAACATATATAAAAAAAAATACTTGCAGACATAAGATAGTTTATTTAATATAATATCAAAAAAGGTCAACTATAAAAACCATTTATATTTTGTCATCTACAATGTCATTAACATATTACTCGCCATTAGTGTGTAATGTTTTAAGCTAATAACCTTTTGTTATTGATATTTTAAACGAATAAAAACAAATGTTGAAATTAACAATGAGTCATTTATATTTGTGTCGTATATACTTAAGAAGTAAGATATGTTTTTACTCTTTAACTGAATATAGATAAAATAATAGTAGTGATGTGATTTGTGTGTAAACAGATGATGTCAACAGTGTTATTATTGTGTAATTTTAGTTAACTTGAATGTTTAATCGTTCCTTTGTATAATAGTCTTAGTTAAATACTGTTATTAACATTATTAGTATTATAAGTTGTGTTTTCTTTTCTTTTTGTTATCTACAATAAATCTCAACTCCCACAAAACATTTATTTTATTAAAACTCGCTCATGTCAAAATCTAGATTAAGTCTCTATAATTTATTTTACAAAAATGTGTTTCACGTTAAAAGCGTAAAAAGCGCTCAGTTGTTGAAAAAATTACGTCTCTTGAGTCATGTGTCACACTCAAATAAAAACAACCTCTTAATACTGGTATTGAATTATATACATTTTTTTTAATTACAAATTTAACCATAATAGTTCATTGGTTGCCTAATTAGCTGATTACCATTACTTTTCAGTCTTTCGTTAGAATTTTTAGATGGATATTTTTAATAAGCTTCCTGAAATTTAACAAATGAACGGGTCCTTCTAAAAACGTTGTAACCAAAAATTTTCTTAAATTTTCGGTAAACGAAAAAACATATTGTGGCCACCCTGGTAATATTTTGATCTACGTTGAAAACAACCCCATTAGTGTTAATGGTCGGTTGCAACGTTTTTAAAAAGAGGGACCTATTCAAATGCACAACCGTTTCACTTTTCGAGGGTGGGGAGGGGGTATTCGAAATACTTAAGTTATAATTTACATTTTAACCAATTATTAGTAAATGGCTGAAAACAATTATTATCAGATGCTAATTGGATCAGCACTGCTGGAAGAACCGCGGTAAATATTCGTTTTGAACTGGTAAGGGCGGCTTTAAGAACGGGCGGGTTGCTTACCAGGTGGAAACTTTTTGTCAGAGATATTTCAAAGTCCAGTATAATGGCGGCAAAAGACGAACTGATATACTTGGACTCGGTGCCGCAGCGTCGTCATTATCGTCGGACTGATGCTTGTGTTTTGTCCGGTTCCGGTCATTGCTGTCGTTTACCCAGTCGTTATCATCACGCACTTCCGGAATAATGTCTTCGTATTCATTTGACGTGCCTATGTTATCATCATACTCATCACCGTCTTCCTTAGGTCCTGGGATTTCTGTAAATTCACAAGTAAAATGTTCTCCATAAGGTAACACTGAGTAAATAAAAAAAAACCTAGTTATATTCTCCGCTCCACAGAAAAACATTGAACCATGGGTAGGTTATCTATTGTCACTTATCACTTATCTCATCCTAATCTTTTATCTCTTATCCCGTATCTTATATCTATTATCACTTATCTAATATATATTACACAGACTTCTATACTAACTAGATAAGATACTCGGGGCGTTTTAAATTGGCGGTAGTGAAGTCAAGCTTAACACGCAACCACCATGTTTTCGGTGGGTAAATAATTTATAATCACATATAAGCTATATAATATTTTTAATATGTGTTTAATAACAACAAATAAATAATAAGTGAAGACCTTTATTAAGTGGATACGACATTTGCCGTAATCGGTAATACACTTCTTAGTAAAAAGATAAAATGTTTTGCCTACCCAAATAATGGCGCGTACTTTTTATGATGCTTCATGTGATAACAGGAGTACCTTATCTAATCTCTTATTACTTATCTCTAATATCTTATCTCTTAATATTTAAAAATATTTTTGAATGATTTTATGCAAAAATGGTGACATGAAATTTCTTGTATCCAGCCCAATAACATATGCATGTTAAGTTATGTTTCTTAAACGACTAGAAACTAGTTTTTAGGTACTATTTTCCAACAATTCTATAATTATTTGCAATCATATCAAATACATAAGTATTTTTATACTGTCAATTTCAAAACCCTTAAAATATTTTACTTGGCTTTCAATAAGCTAATAAAAAGCATTACCTAATTGCTAAAACTATACAGGGATGTTTTACAATATCAAAATAGCTATACAACAAACGTTTTAAATACATATCACATTGTTTATACAAATATTCCGAAAATAATTAACTGTTTTATTCTATATTATTATAAAAAAAAAAAGACTGTTATTATTGTCCAACATAGTAACAACATTGTTTTGTTGTTGTTACTAATATTTTTTAAACATTAAAGAGTATAGTTTTTCTAATTACAGATTTTAATTTACTTACCGTATAATCTGATGCTACTTTCTACTTCGCCCAGTGAGTTTTTCGCTATGCACCTGAATGATCCTAAATCTTGCGCTTCGACAAACTTTACTGTCAATATCATCTGATCTTCAAATATCGACTTGATCGTGTTGGTTGTTTGGTATTTGTCACTAGTGATTACCATGTCACCTAACAAAAATACAACAGTTTTGGAATTAGTTTTGGGAAATGATCTGACTACCATTTTTGAATTAGCAGAGAAAATAAGTAAAAAATGATTTCCAACAATTATTTCAAAGCAATTGATCATTAAAAATAAGAGAAAAAATAACAATTTGTGATGAAATAATAATTTGTTTAAAATCATCAAGTGCGATTTCCTCGTTTATTTAAAAGCTTAGTGTTTTTTCTAATACAAAAAAAAAAAAAACGGTCGCTATATGTTCAAGACGGCTCTTAGTCTTTGTGGAATGTTGAAAATGTACAATGATTATTGTAATAAACAACAAATCTTTAGTCTCTCGTTAAGCAGCCGGATAGGCAATACTTGTTGATATGAAATCACATGTACCTGTATAGCTATTACACGATTCTTGTGCTATTATAAGACGTCGTAATATAAGTACTATAAGATGCTGATGCAAAATCCGTGAAACGTCACCCCCGGGGAATATTATCCATTACCGTAAGTCTTGTCAATGGCGATGACGGTTTTTTTTTCTTTTACTAGGATACCACTATATATCTATCTTTAGTGTAAGCACGAGGGGGAATCGTCAAGTCCACACGTTAACCCCGTGTGTTTTCACTTGGCGTCTCGTGGAACCGCCAAGCCCCAATACAATACAACGATACCTAAGGGATTCGATGCAAGAATATAGCGTTAGGCATAAACAACTATCACCTAGTTAAAACATTGTTTTATGGACTGAACACAATATAGGCACGTTTTACATTCGTACAAACAATAATAATAATTAGCGGGGCTTCGGTGGGAATCAGTCGAAATCATCGAAGGCAATCCGAGGATCAAAAACACAAAGTGGTCGAACCGAAGACCTGAGATTATTACCGTGAATGCACATACTCAGGTACACTTGGTACCAGAGCGTGTGTGCCATTGCCGAAGTATAATATGGCTGGTAAGTCCATAATAATATGCTTTGGCTACGAGTGGCATTCTTTCATAGGACCCTGTGCAGTGTACTATACAGACAGACATTAGACAACGTGCAAAATATCGTCTTACTCGAGAATCCGCGAACAATACTACACAATGAATAATATGTCGAGACGAGGTAATAATGGTTGAATCCGGCTCATGTCTATATCATGGCTTTATGCCAATTTAGGGAGATTTCCGATATTGTTTTCCCGGGTCTCGCATTACCGCGCAACGAGCACGGATTAATCCGCATGTTTGAGTACTACATATTATTATTATTATACTTTATTCGAGTGTGCTCGCATTGTCGGTCTGTATTAAGTATAATTAGTCGGCTGAAATGCTATATGAACCGCCAAACTGTTCAGGGCACCGCCGACAAAGCCCAGAGACGCAGACATAACTTTCTTGTAACGAATAAAACATAACAAGTAAAATTTTGAAATTTTGAAACCCCTGGTCAAATTTTTATATTTTATTACTATACAAAGCGGTTGTTGGCAGTGTGCAAGCTCTGTGGTGATTATTTTACTGAGGCAGTTGATATCTAATTAAAAAAAAAAAAAATCTCCTTTATTAATATTATAATGCTTGCGGTGTGGGTAGAACGAAAAATAATTGTTCAGCGAATTTTATTAGATAAATCTGAATCCGGAGAGACGAACATAATAATAATAATAATATATTCTTGGCTTCAATAATTAAACGACAGCGCCCGGCTACTCGCTTAATATTCCAAGGGTGGCGCGAGGTCGATTAAAAACATGACTGGGGGTATTTTGGCAAAGCCATAAATGGAGGGCAAGGAAGGTGCGGTCTACTGGTTTTTAGCCAAGAAGCTGTCAACAACAGTCTCGTACACTTTTTCGGCTAAACAATATTTATATTTCATATCAAAACAAACTTTCATTTTATGTGCTTGAATTTTTAGAGTGTAGATTTTTTTTATTTTCAGCATGATATATTTAAATTATTTCCTGTTATTCCACGTGGCACACGACACACACGTCAACCTATGTGCATATTTGTGCGAAAAGTCGTTAAAAATGCATCGCTTTCCATTTGGCCACATTCGGTTTCGTGCATAAATATTTTATACAGATATCAGTCACCACAGCACTTTGCACTCAATGACCGTTATCTTGAACCTCGCCGTGTCTCGTTTATATTTAATTTCCGAAAAGCCTAAACGTTATTAAATTATTACAGTAGCAGTGAGTTGTCAAAAGAAAACAAACTATAGGTACCTTCAAAAATTGAGCAAATACACACTTGAAGTATAAAAGTGTGTAATCCAATGAAATCGCATTAACAGTAGTTATTAAAAAACGAGTACATCAAAACATTTTTAAGTGGTACCTAACTAAAGGTAACTGATAAATTAATTATCATTTGTATTAAATATATATTTTAGTCCGGTAGCATGATCATAAATTTAGCCATGCATAATAATATTAAGCTTCTAAAGTACAATTTCAATTAGAAAATTAGATTAAAGAAAACTTTAACTGATTTGACACATTAACATCAAAGTTTGTGTGTAGTTTTATTTCTTGCATTGACCGACTAACTACTGTTGTGATTTCAATAATCAATAATCAGTATTGTCAACGTTTCAATATTGTTTTTTTTTGTAAATCTCATTTGCATCATAATGAAAATAATATGAAAGGAAAATTATTTCTCCCCCCCCCCCCAAAAAAAAAGATGATAAATCACAACGCGGGCGGTTTCATTAAAGAAAAAAAACTATTATAACTTCTTATTATTTAAAAACCGAAATCAGACGATTTATCTTACCATTTGAAATACTGTAATCGGAATAATATTCCAAAGCAAACAAACCATTTACAGACTTGCAATAAATTGTATTTTGTTTTTTTTTATTATTATTATGAAACTCGATTAACGTTTATTTATTCGAAATAATGTCATTCTATCTTGTGATCATTCTTTGTTTGCAGACGTGGACATTTATTATCAAAATAAAAGAAAACATAACCATTTTATATTAACCTACTACATTATGACCTCCTTACGTTAAACAATTATTTTGAATGTAGGTACTAGGTATTAATTAATGTAACTCACCGCTCTCTCGGACCCAATAGTTAATGGACTTCGGGAATGCTTCAATGTTACACTCCAACTTTACTTCAGTTCCTTTTGGAGCACCTACAAGCTGACTAGGAGCAGAAATGACTGGATGGACTGTGGAAAAAAATATACATTTTCGTTTATTGTCAATCAATTCGCTGATGTTGTTTTATTTATATTTATTTTTTTTATTAAAATTACAACCCGAGCGGTCGTCAAATCTTAACAATAATATTAAGACTTAGTTGACTAAATTTTGTTTGTGTCGAAATTACAAAAAAAACGCCGGACGTTAAAATTTATTAAATCGAGGGAGGTGAAATATCATTATATTCTCAAGTATTATGCATTTATGTATGTTTAGTTTTCTAGAGTATTCTTTACCAATACAATTGCACTGTTAAAAACACATCTGTATTTTCGGTTTATTTTTTTTATGATATACCGCATTTTTATTTGAAAACTTCAAGTGGAGTATGCGTGCGCGCCAAAGTACTAAATAACTATGTAAAAGAAAGGATTTGTAGGGGATCTTCAGGTTGTCACTTTGTATAAGTTTCGGAGTTGACGTTATCCACCTGTCCCGAACGAGGGGGGATCCTTTCCCACTTTTCCTTCATTTAGCTCGTCTACCGTGTACGGCAGTGTTGGTTTGCCAATTTTTTTACCCAATCTATCTTGCATACATAGAGATTATACGGTAAAGTTTTAAGCGCCAAGAAGATCGCCTCCTAAAACTTTACAATTGCGATTGACACACCCATATTAGCTGTGTAGAGCTGCAGAAACTTAGCTCGGCTACGCCAATTAAATAATAATGCAGGTCATAGCGCTGTTGTAAAACTCTCTGCACGGATACACATTGTATAGAAAATTAAACTTTACCGATAAAGAAACACCATATATATATATATATTGATCCGATCAAACTTTGTTTGATAGGTGTCGCGCCAACGTTAAATAATAGGTTTAAGCGTAGGTACTATATCTTTCAACGTGGGTATATTATATAATACAATAATAATTTTTGAAACTTGCCGCCGTTTCAAATAATAATAATTGAAAATACCCTTCGCTTCGGCGGCGGACTACACCACTATGTTTTAAATCAATTACAGATGGACAGACACGGATTTAACTTGTTGACGACTGTGGCGCACATCGGGCCAGGTGGTTCGCCCCGTCATGTACATAATAATATGGTAATTCGACACGACGGCGCTGGTGTTTAATATTATTATTAATGTAGTCTTAGAACGAGAGAGAGACACGGGGTGGGTGAAAGATAGGGGCGGGCGAGTCCGAGGGTACGCACAAAGACTTAAGACTTTCTCAGAGTGTTGTGTCTGCTATGTCTTGGTTCGTCGTCGTAATTTATCAATTCCCGCATCTAAAACCCTTTGCCCCACAACCGACGTATTAGGTCGTTTCGTGGCCGGGAAAACGAACGAGGATGAAATATACTTTGGGCACGCGAGACCGAGACCATTCATAACGCCCCGGCGGTGGTGGTGGTGGTGGTACAAGCATAACATACTATACTTACAAATTTACCCTTCACGGGGGTGTGTTCACAAATACAAATCAGCGACCACCTGATGACACACCGTTGCGCGTTCGGGGTCTGATTTAGACATAAAATAAAAATACCCCCAAACAAATTGTTACTACTTTATTACCGCCATATAATCGAGAACCACTTAAACGAGTACTGATAATACTGATTTTTTTTTTTAGACCGTCAGAGCCAGAAAAACAGAAAAGAAAAGATTTCTAATTATATATTACTACTATTCGATTCTTGTAAAAATTCCATACACTAAAAAATCGATGTTCAAAATACAAATATCGTACAAACTTTTTTTTTTGACAATACTAAAATGAATCATAAATTTCAAATAATTATCTTACAAGTTTTTGAATTGTATAGACTTTTTTCAGTCGATCATACTTACAGTGGACGCTGACTATGATTCGTTTACTGACTGACGGTGGCACGCCGTTCGATCCAATGCAAAGGTATGCTCCCATTTCTGATCTGCTGACTTTGGTCAACCTCAACACTTCACCCTGGTACGTAGTCACTGAAACACATATTTTTCCAAAATAGAGTACTGTTCTTTACTGTCAAATAATTATCTAAAATTAATTCGAATAACTATTAAAAAAATGATTCTATGAACTTATAACTAAATTGAAATCTTGTGTGTTAAATCTATCACATTTTTTTTTTTGTTTTTGAAAACATATGTATTGTCGAGTTATTATAAGGAAAAAGTCATGAACTGAATTTTGGAACAAAGTAGTCAAATTAATAAACATTTTCCTAATAAAAAAATCATAACGACGTATTTCGTATAAAATAAGATATATGATTTGTTCGTATGTAATATATTGCAAATATACCGTCTTTGGAAAATGCAATTTTTTCAATATCTCAAAGTCATGTAAAAAAGAAGAGCAAGAGAGAAAATCACTCGGTTGCTTTTTCTACGTGTAAACAATATATCGGTTCATCCCCTAAGCAAAACAGACTTGCGTTTTGCCTTTCCGTTATGTTATATGCTAACGTTGCCAGGTACGAGACAGAACTAAAAAGAAAAAAACAATTCTGACAACAATATAATATTTTATAAGTGCGATATTGAAAAATGAAAATCACATTTAACCAGCTCTCGGGAGTTAAACAGATATGTCGCACACAATTTGCACGAACGGCGAAGACGATGCCGTGTGTGACATCAAAGATTCCGGACGAGTCACCGTGCGAGGCCACGGCGAAATCACAAACGTTACCAATTTATTTTCGATTCAGAGAAGAAGAAAAAAAAAAGTACTACTTGGCGCGCCTTGCGAAAATAGACAAAGTAAAAGACAGAGACAGACGGACAGAGAAAATAAACACCGCCGCTCTCGGTTCGCCTCTGTATGTGCAGTTTTCTTTTTGATGTATCGAGTTTTAAAAGAAGATATTCATCTCTATATGTCTCTACCTTCAGTGTAAGGTGATCGTCTTGCCGCCGTCATTTCGCGTCAACCGAGACAAATCAGATTTGTTTCTCCCTCCATCACATCCGGGTTTACCTCCGGCCGTTTCCTGTACGAAACGAGTATCCGATTCACGCGGAAATATCAACTGTGCGCAAGCATAATGCCAATACCTATGTTGTTGCGCGTAGGCCTGTGGTTTCCAGCGAGAATAAAATCCAACGGCGGTTGTGTGTACAGCTAAGCTTAAATGGGATTCTGACCGTTATTGAAAATCCCGCCAATAGCAACCCCCCTCCCCTCCAAAATAGTTTTCGCTCCAAATACTATAACGAATAGGCGGGCATTTCGATGCAAACCGGCGAATAGAAAAAGATGACTGAACTGTATACCGAAATGACACTTGAAATAACGCTTTTACAATAATTATTGTGTATTGATTTTTCAGCTAATTTGATAGTGATGAGTTTGACATACAAGTAGATTTCCTAGAAAAAAAAAAGTTATCACAGTTTTAAAAATGTAAAACAATGACTTTTTTAGTATCAAGGTAAACAAATGGAAAAATAATACATCACTCTTACAATCTTTTGGTTTGCCTATACTATAAAGATAATAATATCTGTACAAATATTGCTTAAGCTTTTTATTAATACATTTTGAAAAAATGCCTCTTAAGAATTAATTAGGACGTATAAATCCTTTTAAAAAATGTAATTTTGTTTTCTATTCAGATGTAATTAAATTTATAGACTAGTGTCAACTCGTTTAGGGTATATTTCGCTCTCCTAAAAAAATATACTTAACCGGTAAATAGTTTAAAAAAAAAATAATAATTGAAACTACAGTTAATCCTTCAGTGTTTTAATTCGAAAAATTCTGATTTGATCGGATACTACTAAAAAATTAGTTTCATTTAAAACGTTTTCTTAAACGTGCTTTGATCGATACTCTTACCTTGCTTAAATCACTTTAATTACCTACAGTTTGATCGTTTTTCTTATTATTTATCGTTATTCTTATTTTCCAAGTCTTATATTGTATTATGTCCACTACAGAAGCTCTATGATAGAATTCTTGTCCAGATCATCATTCGTATTAACACTCAAAAGAGGATATTAAAACAACTTTTTAGTTTTTTCGTGTACTTATATAATTTATTTATCTTGAAAATGCAGCTTCTTTATTATATTATACCGTTAACTGAATTTGTCAAAATGTAAAGCTAACATTTAAGGATTTTATGGAAACTAATTAATGAGAACGCCTTAGATTTTATTTCCGAATATATTTTACTAAGTACTTACTTGCTGTGTGCAGCATGCATTTTACTTTAGTTGCCATGTTTAATTGTAGTCGTAACCAGCTATACTTGATTACTTAACGCATCTATGTGCATATTACTACACAGCTATACGACAACTCCAATATTGACATAAACAAGGAAAGAAATCAAATTTTTTTTTTAGCTTTGAATTTACTGTTTCAGTTATTCGGTATTGTCAAGTTTTAATTTTAAATGCAAAACGGATTTGATGAGAACTCTTATAAATGCGTACACTCGCTTTTTCGATTGCATATAAAACATATTGTAGTGTTGTTGGAGTTTAGCGCAAAAGTTTTCATGTAAGAGAATATTATTATTATTATTTTTTTTTTTTTAAAGCACTTTGGAAATTAATCAAATTGTTAAACTCATTAAAATTACCTCGACTCCGTTCAATATACAGGCACCGTCGTTATACCTACGCACCAACACTTTTTGTTGTGCCCCGGTAGTTTTAATTAAGCTCCTTACATTCTCAAGATACCAGAAAGGTTACCTACAGACAGCGCTCCCAAGACCAGAGAACAATCATACTATTGAAAAACGAACATTCAATACCGTTTTATTATACAGCGATTTAATTAACCCTCGGAGAACGTTTACCATTTCCACCAAGACTCGAGTGATGTGATATGACTTAAATTCATTTTTTTAATCCTATACCAGTATATCAGAGTATGCTGAGTACCTATGCAGAGTCTTTTTTGAAATAACTTACCCCTAACTTTGTAAAATTATGAATAAAATGCAAAAACTACACAGAAAGTATTATATTATAATAATAGGATAATAGTTTAAAGTCAGTGTAGTAAAATTAAAAGGCAGTTATTTCTTTTATACCGTCCTAACCTATAGATTAGTTTACATATCAATATGAAACTCAAACTCTATATTGTAAATTATACATTTTTCTACACTCCAAAGTAACTCGGGGTGTACAGTTGACGTTTTAGTGATGTATTTTTCTTTAAGCTTAATGGAATTATCGGTAAAATTAAATAATATCTTTATCACATAATGGTGAATTACAAAAAAACGTGCAACCTTTGTCTTATACTTAACTCCGGTTTTATTTGTAATAATATTACATGGTTTAATGTCTTCTTTTTAACTACTGTACAACAATAAGACAAATGATACTAACTTTTAAACATTAAACAGCTAACTTCAACCATTAACCGGGGGGTGAAAGAATGTTCATTAGTAGCGAAACAATAATAACTGTAAGCCCCATATAAATTGTTTTTGGTTTCAATTAATTATAATTAATTAGTGTGGGCAAAACAAATAATCCTTTCGCTAAGAAAAACGGGACGTCAAGAAGGAATCATTCTAACACAAACTTGTACACATTGTTAGGCGTACAATCTACATTATGATCAAAACTAAATAGTAATTTTAAGGCGATACCAAACACAAATAATAACCAAATTAAAAAATGATTTGATGCTAATTAACAAATTTAAATAAATAAATATTCCCATTTATCAGTATGTATCTGATTGTGTATAGAAGCGATTGAGCTTTGAATAAAAAAAATTCTATAACTTTAGCTAATTTAAAGGCAATTAATTAACTATGAAATATTATGGAGTTGTACGATATAAAATGTCATCTTATAAAAGCTCTCGTGGTTTACAAAAAGATTGTCATTCGACAAGACGATTCCACGGAAACGTCCCGTCATCCGAGACACGACTGACAAGTACAAGGAGGAAAAAAAAATTGAAAAATTCTCATAATAATTATACGTTCCATTATAACGGTTTACGGATTTTCGGAAACCGTCTTTGAACAGGAAATATTTTTATCCCATCACCGCTGCATTCGAGTCCATTGTCTTAGTCGTCTGTCGAGGAATCTTTTTGTTTCGATGCTTTTCTATATATATATATATATACAAATATAAATATATATATATCATCTTCGGGAAAATTGCGGACGGGTGAAACGGCGAAGGTTGAGCGCGGAAAACTTTTATTCAAAGTTTAAAACTGGGATTAAAAGAAATCGATTACTATTTTTTTCCCCCCAACCGCCGAGTTCGGGTTTCCCGGTTAGTAGTGCTAGCATTCGTGGAGAGTCTTGACAATGCAACTATTGTGCTGCCACGTCAAACAGCCGGAACTGCCATTTGCAAAAGCCAACGCTTTTTTGACAAGTACGCGCCGCAGATTAGGTACTTTTGAGTAGTTTTTGTTGATTTTAAAACGACAGACACGAAAATGTTCCGTCAATTTCTGATTAAGGATAATATTTTTTTCATTTCCCAAACGTACAGGCAAAAAACTAGGAGTCACTTTTTTTCCTTCGAAAAACCAGCGAATTCGGTGACATAAAATTCGTTTTGACGTACTTGCGCATTGTTAAACATGTTTTTTAGTTGTCCAATCCCCGAAAGTATAACAATATACTTTTGTGTTGAATGGAAATAATTGTATAATTCATACTCCGTTATTATAAAAATATTTGGGAAATTAATCGAGTTAACTTACAATCCAAAAGTTAGAATGATTTCACAGTTAGTTACAACTTTATTTAGTCCAGCTGAAATCATGGTTAATACATGAGGCGCTCAGAAGCCAAATTGATTAACTCCATAAAATGAAATTTTTCAGGACAGACAGTTATTTAAAACAATATATGTAAGTACAATTGCCAATGTACTTAGCGCACATGTTGGCATCTGAGCGCATCACATAATAGTAATACATTTCTAGTTGGAATAACTAATGGCGGTTTATTTTGTAAACACTAACCTCTGGTTTTCGCGCCATTGGCGTCTTTGATTATGATATCTTTCCCGTCTTCTCTTCTCCACAGGACGTGAGGCTTTGGATAACCTTTAGCTCTACAAGTCAACTTTACTGTGCCTCCTTCGGGTACCATGATGTCGCCGGAAGTATCCTCGTATATTATGTCCGGAGGAATTACCACATCCAAATAACCCATCTGCAACGCACAAAACGTACACACTTTATTAAAGTGAACACAAATCGATATAGCAAGCTTATAGCTTAAATCACGGTTACTTATTATAATAACTGTCATATGTTTATTAGCTTAACAACAGCTGTATTTATCGCAGTAGATGCGAAGTAGGTTGTGCCATTAAGTAAAAAAAAAATCAGCGCTTAAAATATTCTCAGTGTACCAAATAATAACAAACCGCAAGGAAACCAAGAAAAAACATTCCAAAATATTTTTTGAATTTTTGTACAGAAATGTCTACAGCGCATTTTATTGATATTTAAAATTATCTACAGAATTTCATGTCTCTCACAATACAATAATGTAAAAATTAATGGCAAAGAGTATACATCAGGAAAAAAACTAATGGCATCCTTTATTGATGTACCTCTTGTACATACATTTTTTCAGGTCCAGTTCAAAACACTCATATTATATTTATGAACATTTTTTTGTTTTTTTTTAAAGAAACCTAGTGTAAAGCGATTAGTCTCTTTAATGAAATTCGTTCACGCAACATAAAGTTGTTCTACAATTGTGTTGGTCTAATGCGAGAAAAACTACATTATTTCAGTTTATTAAAACCGACACATGCATTATAAATGAAAATAACGAATACAATTTAAGATATTTTTACTAAACGTTTATAATTTTAACAAATCTTAAATATTTACTTTGCAATGGCATTTACAAGTTTGTACATTGAATTGTACAATTTAAAATGGTGTCTATTAGTTTGTATAGTGTACTTTAGAAGTCTTGTGTAACATAAGTAGGTAATATACATTTACAGTTCTGCTATTATGTCAAACATTAGGTACACTAATGTACTCACCTGACTTATCATGGGGTCGGTATTGATTTGGCACATGTACTGCCCGCGGTCTTCTTCTTGTACATTTTTTATGTGCAGATTCCACGTTGAATCGTCGGTGTGCGATACAGAAATACGGGCATTGTGTGTAATCACATGGTCGTGTATAGCTTGAATAGCTTTTGTATCGGCTTTTACCCAACCCACCTGTAAACAAACAGCATAACATCATTATCATCTTGAAACCCAAAGTGCATATGAGAATTTAACGATTTTGCAAAACTATAAATGACATGCCAATTATTATTACCGTTTCGACGTTTTATCCTTTAGAAAAAAACGCTTTTGTTATTAAAAATAACTTTTATAAAAAAAAACAAGAACAGTTATTAATCGTTATCTAATACTGCATTAATTATGTCACAATAATATGATGTATTCCAGTACAGCCGATTGCACATTGCAATAACGAGTACCAGTCACATATTGTGTAGGTGCTATTCAAACAAACATTATGTTGTTGCACACATTCGCCAGTGCTCGTTAATAGTTTCATTTAATGAATGGAGATTTATGCTGTATAATTATTTTTTGAACAGCACGTGGCCCAAGGGAAATGCGGTAATCATAACGGACAAGCAATCTATCATTTGTTCGGCCATTTGCCGTCCGCCCCGACACGCTTAAACGAAATGCTTTTCTTGTACTTAGGCGTTTCGTATGAAAATCACCTGAATTTGACAAACGGAATTGACAGAGAGTGGTTTAAATTAACTCGAGCATGAAACTATATTTTGTGTTTTCCATTTTTAAAAAATATTAAAATATCCAAATTTAAGTGCGGATTCGTTATAAAGCCGTCGGTATTTTGGTAAAACAGCGAAAACTGTAGTGGCCGTTTTAATTATTTTCAATATCGATTAAAAAAAAAAAAATGTTGATGTTTAGTAAATAACTTAAAGCTACAAAAGAGCTTCGAGAACGATCTCTATTGCGATTTCCTTTCAAGACGCCGCTTTTCTTTTCCACGAAAATATGTTCCACTCGACGGTGTACTTTGATACGGTTTTCCGATAAGCTCGCTGTCTCGTTATTGACAAAACAAAATGTGTAACGTTTGAAAATATTATAGTAGTCCATAAGAGAAAAACTCAAGTACAAATCACCGAATAGAAGACCCCTCGACTTAGCTGCCGAGTAACTATGTCTCGCCGTTTTTAAACGTCCACAGCCACAGCTACACGTTCAAGTGGGGCCTCAACACACGTGCTGCTACTGTTTTGGTATTCAACGAATTCTCCCCAGTAGTTATCCCAGTGATCGTTTACTATGCAAAACAGGTCCCAAATAATAATAATAATAACCAGATACCTGGTGGTCTGCAATAATATTGCTGTGCCACTACTGCTGCACTCGTCGCGCTGTTATTTTACACGTGTTACACTCTTTGTGTATCCAATATCGTTATTGGTTTAGCAACCCTTTGTGTGGGTGTACGGTGTACATATATGAAATGAAAGCATAACCGGCCCGTTGTACGTTATGCGACAGACAAAACCATTTTACAAACAATTGTCGCCGGTAACAGAAAAACGCTTCTTTCGAATTAGGTACATGCATAAATAGATAGCGCACTTGCCCGTTTAGCCCTTTTACGTTTTCTAAAAAAAATGGGTGTAAACACAAATGATCAAGAAGACATTTTTTCATATTAATCATAAGTCTTGTGTAACGTTTATGTCTAAATCTAATTGATTATATTTTATAACTCACTCGATAGCCTCCTAAACTGTGAACGTAGCACGTAAACATAGCTTCTCGGCCAACTGGCACGGTGATGTTTCCAATAGGTTCAGTAAACTTGGGCTGATATCCGTTACATTCTGCAAACAAACAAAGTACAGCATAATTATATTACCAACTTACTAACATTATAGCGACCCTTACCTAACCTAACCTAACACACGAATCGTACAGTCATCTCATTCGTAAAAAAAAAATCTAAGAAAAACCATTGAAGTTTTCAAAAAAGTTCAGATACCTAACGAAATAATTACAGAAAGATGTTAAAAGCGAAAGATAAGTTGTTCTTACACATGTCGTTGTAAAATAGTTTTTATTAGTACAGTTTAATTGTGAGTATTCAACTGTGATTGAAGCATAATTGACTTTGCAAAAGAATACTATCGTCATTGTACTAAGTATTATTATTATTATTATTTATTATTCCCTTTACTTATTTAGAAACGTATTGCGACGGAACGGCTATATTTTATAAAAGGAGGAAATATATTATATTCAAGAGAAACGTGAAAAGAAAGAAGTCAAATAATATGCAGAGCGTCTTCTTTTGCGATGGCTATGTTATTGATACTGTTGTTGTTGTGTATTATTATTACAAGCAACAATATATTTTGCACCCTTGATATTAAATTGACTATGCTCATATTATTATCACCACGTTGCCCCTTTGTCGTTTCCCGTAGCATTTTTCAATATAAATTCCAATAAACGCAATATTAAATAAGAGAGTATTTATATTTATTTTACGCAGCCCTCTGGTTTACCTAAAAAAAACACGCAAATACTTTTTTGTGGGCCACTCATGTCAATTATGCAAAAGAAAAAAAAAACGGTTGCTCTCTAACAATACATTTTAATATAGCAACGATCATCATCAAGAGGGGCCTCTCCTTCTCTTTTCGAATCGACACTTATTAGGTTTTCTTTCGTTCCGCCATTCAAAATAAATAAATATATATGTATATATTTATACCAAAAAGAGGAATGGAAAAAAAAATTATAGTAACAGATTGCCAATTGCTAGCGATTGAATTGTAAAAAAAAATAATAAGTTTTGTCTTTGTTATGGTAATTTCTCACAACCCCAAACGTCTTCGCGCGCGCGTTCATCCTATTTACCGTTGTTTTTAAAGATAACCTTAGTATAAATAGTATACATTTTTAATTAATTTCGAAAACTTTTGGTCGTAGGTTTTGGCACTGAGGAGGAGGTTTTTGTCAAACAGCTGTTGCCGGAAGTGTGACCTGCGAATGTTTTGCTCCACTCGCTGCGACATCCCAAAGGTAATATTGTTATTATTATTTTCTTTTCCTAATGCCAAACGGACGTCTTATATTCTTGTTCGTCTTGGTTCATCAATAAATAGGGTACCTACCCTCGAACGGCAGTATGGGAGATTTATAATATGGGGAGACTTCTCCCTGCCGAGCCTAAATTAATGGCATCCACCGGACCTTGACCATCGTTTGGACGCGGTACGACGATTTTCGACCGGAAAATGCCTTGTAGGGACACAAGAAGCTGCTGGATAAAAGCAACTAATTTCTCAGCTTTTATGGAGCCACGTCAGAGCGGCAACCGACTTTGGCGATCCGGTGGACCATATTATTATTTGTATATTATATATATATATATATATGTATAGGTTTATCTACTTTTTGTTAGCAAAACATTGGCCATGCCCTTACGCTCGTCGAGAAATGTCTTTAATGGCGCATAAACCCTTAGAAAATATTACAAGTCACACAAATATTGTTTTTATAGACGTTTCCCTTTTTTTTTATGGTTTTCGACGGTAATCCTTATATTATGTCAATTTGTCATTCATTTTTTATTATTCGCTGTATATTTTGCAAAGTCAAAGCTGTGTTCTCTTGTACAACATAATGTAATATAATGAAGACGCCGAATAAATGCAATGCTATAAATTGTTCAAGTCAACATTGCAGGAAAATATTCAATACATTTTTGTGTCCCAAAGCTACTTAGCGACACTGTCAGCTTATAAATAGTGAACTTATATTTATTACTCGAGTGGAATATTCCATTTTCTCAATTCTATTTTTTTTCTTCAAACTTTCCTATTAAAAGTGCTGTTTTTTTAAGGTCGAATTCAAACACACGAGCTCAAGTGATATTATCAAAAGGTGTTAATTATATTTCAGTTGTTTGCTTAACGTTAACATTAAAAAAAACATTAAAAGAAAAAAAGGCCATTTATTAATTAAAAAAAAATTCTATTCAATTTTAGCTATTGGGATCATGAAAAGGCAGACTTTTCGAAAGAACCAGGCTTAATGTTACTTACCATTTGAAGCAAATAATAAGACTGCTGCAATCCAAATCATCGTTTTAGCTGCTCTAGTTACATGTGAGTCGAAGTTAAACGACGAAAACTGGCAATGACATACTGAAAAATAAAGTAGTAACCAAGTTAGTTAAAAATGTCAAAACATACTAAGCCTATAATAGGTTCATAATAATAAATTTTAGATAACGCATGTGTAACCAACATAAAAATAAGCAGAATTTAATTTTCCACAAAAAAAATTCCTATCCATTGTTGTAGTATCGATATTTATTTACATTTAACTAATTTTTTAAGTAGATTGCTTTGAAAATTGCCTAATTTGATAGAGAAAAGTTTGGTTTCAAATGTCTGAACAGAAAAATCCGGCCTGACAGAGTTGAAAAAAAATATGTACTAAAATTAAAATATTTAATAAAATGTCATTACAAAAATATGTTTGATCAAAATGTTGTTAACAGTAGTAGGTACAAATAGTCGACATGGCACTTGTGTACTTTAAGTATCGATATTAAATTAGAAGTATAATATTATGTTATGTCAGCCGACATTATTTTTTTTATGTGCTGTCGTTACCAAGATATTTCCAATTAGGCTAACGGGAAGGGTTTATAAAAGGTTTTACAATTACCAATGTCATACAAACCATTATTAGAAATAAGCGATAGAATTAATTGTAAAATCATATAGGTAGCTAAACTGTAATTACTAAATTACTAATTTTCAAATAAGTGAAATAAAAACGTTTATTTATATACCTTTTTGATTATATTTTAGAAACGATAACAATTCTCATTCTTCGATAATACAACATAATACCGTATAAGTTAAAAATACCGCTATTCATGTAGGACAATCATTATATATGTACATATGATGTATTAAATATTGATATTACAGTATAAATAGATAATAAAACATGACCGTTACAAAATACGGTCGAATAGCCTACACGTGTTGCCTATTAATTAAAACAATATTAATAGACCTAAGTTCACTACAGTACACAAATGGTTTTATACAATCCAGTTACATATTATTCTATGGCAACTTTAAAGTGAGTTATATCATTTTTTAGCAGTTTAGTCACAAATCCAGAGGTTGGCTCAGAACGCGTACTTCCGTCTACCCAGAAAATCTCTGGTTATTGCACTAGAAAGCATTTTCGAATTATTTATTATGTCTAAGGAACACGGTAATATATTAATAAACCACCCAAGGTCTTTTCTGAAACCACACAATCCGTTTAGAATCATTCACAGTATATGTAATACAATAAAATAACAGACATAAATTCTATAATTTATGTTAGCCGGTGTTTTACGACTATATTGTTATGGTGAAAAATTATATCTCCAAAACTTTAACTGTACTACAGCATACTATGGTACTCTGTATGGCGTATGCCTAAGCTTTACTACTAAAACAGTTTTAAAATATCAGTTTTCTATTTAAATATTACGATTTAAATATTTTTCTGTACAAATCCAAGACATAAACTATACTAACCGCCGAATGTGAGAGTATAAAATAAATTTGTATACTGTCTTATGAACTCAAAGAGTGTGTAAAAAAGTTATTAAATTAATAAACCATTTTCACTGGTGTGATAGTGATAATCAAGTAAGGACTGAAACTAAGAACGCAATATCTTGTTGTACCTGTTGTGCATAATGTAATGTCTACAGCCATGATCTACAAATATAATCTATTGTTATAGTTATAATAGGTTTTCTGTTTTCATACTTTGAAACCCTTAGTCTATCGAAATTTGATGGGTATTCCCAAAACAGCTTTAAAAAATGTTTATACCGTTGTGTTTGAATTGACCATTTGACATCCCTATTATAATTTAATTCTTAGCTATGGAGAGGTGTTCAGAATTAATAAATAAAACAAAGCTGAAATACTTTCCAATAATTATTAGTATTTTTCGTTAAAACTATATTGTCTAGAAAATAATGTATTTTTACAATATATTTATAACTATAAGGAATAATTATTTTTTTTACAAGTTGAACACAATTTGTTTGTAGTGATTTTTTTTATTGAAAAGAAATATATTTTGAACAAGTTGATATGTGTTCTTGTTATAGTCTTTCTTGCAATCTTCAATACTCCGTTCGCCGAGAGAATATAGTTTTAAATGCCAATTCTTAGGGGGTATTTTTTTGTTAAAAATTCACTCTACCGGTTCCAGCCGAAGGTTCCAACGGCAAACTCAAACGGTCCGGCCCAAACGCATAATATTGTACCTATTCTTATTACTGTCGAGCAATAACTTGACGGCGGATTCGAATGTGGCGACGAAACAGGCCTTTGGCCGTATTTTGTTCGCCTAAACGAGGTGCATTTCAATCTGGCATCCAGAGTTCAGAAGTCGCATGGATTTTTTCCTAAACTTTTTTATACCCTCTCCTTGTTTGCATCGTTTCCCCCCGTCCGTAAATCGTACCCAGACGAATATATATATATATATATGGCAACGAGTGCAATACCTACTCCAAGTGGAACGTGATCAGAATTGTGTTCACTTGTCAGAGCATTAGACACCAGCTACCTACAGGCCGACCCTATGTACGGGTAGGTAGAGTCTCCGGCTAATGGACCAATAGAATTGCGCATTATGATGCATCAAACCGTCACCCGTATGTGCCGTCGATGCATATTTAAATAAATATATTCATTTTACCTATTCCACCAATTCCTGGGAAAATACTCTACCCGTTCGACTATATTTTGCGGTTTGTGAAACGATTATGGATAAAACATATTATTTTTAATAGGTAGTTCAACGGTACAAAATTATTGCTAATAACAAATACAAAGTCGGTAAAAACAATAAGTTTACTACCGAGATAAAGTAGGCTGGAGACTGGAGAGGGATAAGTAATACCAATGAGGGGAAGATGGCTGAATAGAGTAGTTTTAATATTTAAAAAGGCTGAACCATCAAATATCTACTATTGTAAATAATGTAATAGCAAAGTGATTCATTTTCATGCAGTGTGAATAAGGGCGAGGAGATGAGGGTAAATTCGTTTCAATTATAAATAATATTATGTTATAATTTGTAAAAATCCTACGTTAAAGTTGCTTAAGTACTCTATTTTGTTAGAATTCCGATTTTTGCTAATGATATTAAGATAACACTTCAGTCGAGCCTAAATGAATAAAATAGTAAAATTCTCAAACCACGTTCTTTAAATTGATTAAGAGAATAGATCTTTGATTAAAATAAAATACCATTTGCCAGTTTTCATAGCACACACATTTTTTAATTGTATACAAACAAAACCGACAAAAACCCACATCTTTGTCAAATGTATACAACAGACCTTATGAAATCATAAAGTAAACTTAGCTTTTAATTATTGTAATATCTTGAAATTTATTATAACGGTCTGAAATAAATAACAGTCCACTGAATTTGAAATTAACAAAAAAATCAAAATTAAATCATAAACTTAACAGACGTGTGTATTATAAGAGAAGAAAAATAATTATTGTTATGTCAATTAAATAAGAATAATTAAAATAGCTCTTAAAACTGAAACCCCGCATTTTATGATTTAATAACAAACTGTCTGTGAACTTTTTAATTTTATAAAAGTTCTTTTTAGATGACAATATGGCCATCATATAGCCCAACACAAAAAAAAAAAAAATTAAACAAGTCTTCGCGAGAAGCGTTCCCAAAAGCAAAAGAAATCGATATTTTCCAAAACCACAACGTTTTTTTCTATATCAAAATATAATTGAGTAATTACTACAAAAATCATTAGCATTATCATTTTACAACGTTTTGAACATACTTCTTTGAAAAAACACTTGCCTTAATCGGTATTGGTCTTGGAGTTATGAAAACATGTAAACCCTGTTTAAAGCGGATTAATGAATTTCGGCTTACGGTAAAACTTTTATCTTATTCGGATTAGTTATACGCAGTAGGTAAGTAAGATTTGATTCGATCACGAGCAAGTAAAACGATGTTAAAAATGACTACTACGCGGTATTTATGATTACATTACAAAAATGATATTAACGACCAGGCCGTATCGGTTTTTTACCTAAGCACGACACATATAAAAAACAAATTTGCAGTATTCTGAAGAGATTGGTGTGTCAAAACGGGATAAGTACTTTTACATGCGGCATATCGGTACGTTTGTACGTTTAGAGAGATGATGTCTCGTGTAAGAGTTGTTTTCCGCCGTGATAAGAGGGTAATGAAAAGAAAAAGAGAAATCTCTGCCAGCCAGGTCTATAAACACGTGTACATGTATAATAATAATAATAATATGTGTTATTCCCGTCGCAGCAAAGGCGAGGACGAACTTAACGAGAACGTTATCGTCGAAACAGAACGGTTTCCTTCCGAAGTGCGCGTCGTCTAGAAATGTATGTTCTTTTTTTTGCCACAGGTTTTTCTTTTTTTCTTAACGACAAAAAAGCGCAGATAAAAAAACATATTTACCATTCGTACATCCGCTTAGACCGGCACATTGCCGACATCGCCATCACGAGTATACAGAGTTTATTGTATTTTATATTCATTTATATATAATATGCCTAAACTGTGGCACACGTCCCAAGGACCAGAGGCGAGACGGTCTAGAGTCTACTTAGAGATAAGTTTTGCTTATAGGTGCACAACACAATGAAAACTAAACGGTTCAATCGGTCGCCACGAGGATTTCTTAGAGCAGACGACATTCCGTGTAGAATTCTTCGGCCGACGAGGGCGTTTGCGATTTTTTAAATTAAAAAATTCCATTGAAAACATAGTTGAATAGCGAAAAAAAAAATAACCTTTCCTTCGGTGTGAAATCAACACACGGCTGTTAAACGAGTTGTACAGCGGGTGGTGCAACGACCGGAGGAAACCGCATTGACTAGTGAACTGGATAGCCAATAGGTGTACAATTTCATTAAGCTATAAATGTTGTCAAATAGTTTGTCGGTTAGTAATCGTACACGCTAAGACAGGAGGTAAGAACTTCTATAAGTCAAACTTGAAAATATCACAAATAGATATTCAAAAATTACACATACCTACAAAATAACGTCTTACTAGTGTTCGAATAGTTGTGTTGTAACCC